TTTTTAGTTAAACTCTGTTCCAAATATTATCAAGTGTACGTGTTTTTAGTTAAACTCTGTTCCAAATATTATCTAGTGTACGTGTTTTTAGTTAAACTCTGTTCCAAATATTATCAAGTGTACGTGTTTTTAGTTAAACTCTGTTCCAAATATTATCAAGTGTATGTGTTTTTAGTTAAACTGTTCCAAATATTATCTTGTGTACGTGTTTTTAGTTTAACTCTGTTCCAAATATTATCTAGTGTACGTGTTTTTAGTTAAACTCTGTTCAAAATATTATCTAGTTTACGTGTTTTTAGTTAAACTCTGTTCCAAATATTATCAAGTGTACGTGTTTTTAGTTAAACTCTGTTCCAAATATTATCTAGTGTACGTGTTTTTAGTTAAACTCTGTTCCAAATATTATCTTGTGTGCGTGTTTTTAGTTAAACTCTGTTCCAAATATTATCTTGTGTACGTGTTTTTAGTTAAACTCTGTTCCAAATATTATCTTGTGTGCGTGTTTTTAGTTAAACTCTGTTCCAAATATTATCTAGTGTACGTGTTTTTAGTTAAACTCTGTTCCAAATATTATCTTGTGTACGTGTTTTTAGTTAAACTGTTCCAAATATTATCAAGTGTACGTGTTTTTAGTTAAACTCTGTTCCAAATATTATCTAGTTTACGTTTATTTAATAAGCGCCCTTTCCAATATTAACTAGTGTACGTGTTTTTAATTAATTACTGCACCGTTTAAAAATAACATGAATACTCGAAAACAACTAAGATATACATTTGTATCAACTACTTTACAGGAGGTTGACCGTCTGTTGCCGCCCACACCTACAGCTACCACCAAATACTCTTTGCTTCATGACATAGATTTCCAAGCTGTGGACCAGCACGCCTTCGACGTGAGTTTCTGATATCGGTTGTTTGTAGAATTATCCTTGGCGATTTCTTTAGTGCTTTACATAATTTGGTTTCGGTGTTTCGATCGTTTATGAGGATTTCAATTGATAAAGAATGTCTTTATATAATCACTAATTAGGGCACCTTCTAAAGATAAGAAAGTTTTTTTCTGTTGAATTATATTTCCAGGCACCATTGGAACTACTGATGGGGTCCTATTTTGACCTAGTCGAGTACCTAACAGACGACAACTCATGGGATGATCTAGTCAAATGTCGAGTCATCTTCCGATGGATTACGTCATATGATATCACGAGGATGAAGATTGACGTCACTCCGCCGCCCAATTCCCCACTCGAGTATTTCAGTAAAATACAGTGTGATCTTGGAAGCTACCCAAATCTCTTCTACATCCTGTGCGAGTATGTTTATCGGTCAATATATTATATGTGTTGAAAATGTCGATTAGATGTATAGGTGCTTGTAAGTAAGAAATATCATTTCAACTGAAAGGATTTATTGTAAGTCATGTTACGTCAGACTATAAAAATAAGATATAAACAAGTTGAATAAAAAATAAACAAGACTTCAAAATTCTATTTCTTTAAATCGACCTAATCTAACAATAGAATCCATTGTTGTTATTTTAAAATATATCAGTGTACTAATCCTAATCTGTAGTAACTATTTAAAATACAACACTAAATTCGACTAAGCTGTATTTCAGTAGTTAATCTGCGATTATATTCGTCTACGTCCCCTGATCACATGAACAATGTGTAACAAAATGAGTAAAAATGGGTTTAATGGTAACTTTGGAATGGTGTGTATCGTAGAGAGCAGCATCTAAGTTTAAAGTACATCAGGTCAAAAGTCAGTCAATGCTGGACAGAGGTAAACAATCCCGTGAGTGACAGATAGTGATGCACGCTTGATAACGGGCGGGGTGTGCACCCCAGTGTTGAAGCACCGTGGCAGAATAATGCCGGTATGATTGATCAGGACAGATAGATGCTCTCTCTTGTATGTCTCGCGCTCTCGAACATATAGGTAAGTAAACAAGATAAGAAGCAATGTACAAGGTAGATCAAAAGGGTGTGGAATTGATAACAGGTACTCCTAGACGCACGTGCCCTTTTAATTATATGCACAATGGGCGTAATGATAGGAAAGTTGTAAAACTTAAGTATAGGGGATATTAGGTATTGTGAGAGAGTCCGAGGGAGAGTTGAAGCCAGGACATTGAGCAGAGAGGAGAGCGTGACGATGTATGGGCCCGAGTTAGAGAGCGGGAGAAACATCTAGAATGGTTATGTACTATGACTTTTAACAAACAATGAACAACCAGTCTAGTGTTATCAAATGCATTTGTGTGGTCACTATACGCTACTATGTTACAAATGTGTTTTTTGTTAAAAAATGCCAATAATTAATTGAAAATATTTAACAATGTTGTCGAGAAAAAATTGAGGCCAGTTCCGTATTAAAAATATCAACATTGAACGTTCAACTTATTGTAAATTAACTGCAATTTGAGAAGGAATCATTTCCTTATTTTAAGTTCTGATCACAGCTTCCTGACGTAATTAAATATCATTATATAACAAAATAAAAACCAACAAGGTAAAAAACAGTTCGGATCAAGATTCAGCTAGGTATATATATATTGTACAGCATGTCGATTACAGCTAGGTATAGATATATTGTACAGGATGTCGATTACAGCTAGGTATATATATATTGTACAGGATGTCGATTACAGCTAGGTATAGATATATTGTACATGATGTCGATTACAGCTAGGTATAGATATATTGTACAGGATGTCGATTACAGCTAGGTATACATATATTGTACAGGATGTCGATTACAGCTAGGTATAAATATATTGTACAGGATGTCGATTACAGCTAGGTATATATATATTGTACAGCATGTCGATTACAGCTAGGTATAGATATATATTGTACAGCATGTCGATTACAGCTAGGTATATATATATATTGTACAGGATGTCGATTACAGCTTGGTATAGGTATATTGTACAGCATGTCGATTACAGCTAGGTATAGATATATTGTACAGCATGCCGATTACAGCAAGGTATATGTATATATTGTACAGCATGTCGATTACAGCTAGGTATAAATATATTGTACAGGATGTCGATTACAGCTAGGTATATATATATTGTACAGCATGTCGATTACAGCTAGGTATAGATATATATTGTACAGCATGTCGATTACAGCTAGGTATATATATATTGTACAGGATGTCGATTACAGCTAGGTATAGATATATTGTACAGGATGTCGATTACAGCTAGGTATAGATATATTGTACAGGATGTCGATTACAGCTAGGTATATATATATATTGTACAGGATGTCGATTACAGCTAGGTATAGATATATTGTACAGGATGTCGATTACAGCTAGGTATAGATATATTGTACAGGATGTCGATTACAGCAAGGTATATGTATATATTGTACAGCATGTCGATTACAGCTAGGTATAAATATATTGTACAGGATGTCGATTACATCTAGGTATAGATATATTGTACAGGATGTCGATTACAGCTAGGTAGAGATATATTGTACAGGATGTCGATTACAGCTAGGTATAGATATATTATACAGGATGTCGATTACAGCTAGGTATAGATATATTGTACAGCATGTCGATTACAGCTAGGTATATATATATATATATTGTACAGGATGTCGATTACAGCTAGGTATATATATATATTGTACAGGATGTCGATTACAGCTAGGTATATATATATATCGACAGGATGTCGATTACAGCTAGGTATATATATATTGTACAGGATGTCGATTACAGCTAGGTATAGGTATATTGTACAGGATATCGATTACAGCTAGGTATATATATATTGTACAGGATGTCGATTACAGCTAGGTATATATATTGTACAGGATATCGATTACAGTTTCCGATGGTTTTTGAAAGATAAATTTCAAATGTATATTTGTCTGATTTTAATGTTTTCTCATCTTTGTCCTTCTAGAATCGCAGATGTTCCATGCGTTGTAGTGGAAGGTATAAACAAAAGTTCCATGTACAAAGTAGGTGAGCCCATTGAAAGGGAAACTCTCAAGGCCCAATGGAACGCTGTGTACATCTACGACGAGTGGCGTCTAGTAGATACATTTTGGGGAAATATGTGTGCTGAGAACGAGATGCCAGATGAATGGAAAGACATGGATGTTATGAGCAATACCACAGGGCGCAAAACGGAGATAGACAGCATCGATGGTGATGGGAGCGTCAAAGGTGATGCAAATATTCCGGGGCGCGGTGTGTCGCGACAACCGACTGTGTTAGAGGGAACAAACGACCTGCCGACGGACGAAGAAATTTCCGAAGCTGGAAAAGACAGACGCTTTACTGACCTTTCATGGAAAAGACATCACAAGATGATAGTAGACGAGCACTACTTCTTGACAAACCCTAGTGAACTGATCAGCACCCATCTTCCCGACGAAGATGTTTGGCAATTACTGGAGGAACCTATACCTTTTGCGGAATTTGAGGAGCAAGCCTTCATGCGTGAACGTTTCCACCAGCTTGATATGAAGATTGCTGATGAAGTTTATGACAACTGCATCATCGAAGCCATAGATGGAGAAGCCGAGTTGATACTGACTCTGCCTTCTGAACGAAGTAAAGACTATAGATTTAAGTATGTCTTATTTAGGTCTCACCTTTCAGCGGAGGAAAGGACACGATTAGACATTCTGTTGGACAGATTCGTTATATTTGAACATCTACAAGAGACATTGCGTTTTTCGTTTCAGTTTCCAATAGCTGGGAAGTTCAAATTAGACATATATGGATTGGATAAAACAATACCCGATATCAATGGCTATGATCTCGTGTGTTCATATCTTCTAGAAGCAAATGACACTCAGAACTGTATACCTCTGCCTGATTACCCTGCCATAGGTTGGGGACCTGGAATAACTTCTACAACGGCAGGAGTCGAAGCAATTTCACACAAAGAGGCCTCCATTCTAACTGAAGATGGACGTCTTGAAATTGTCATTGGTGGAAGAGAGGATCATAAACTAAAGATGAGCCTTCGCAATCCATTTTCAGATGAAGCCAATTTGGACAAATATGCCATTCTGAGATGGACAGGGACTGATTATATCATAAACACTCGTTTGCCCAAAGGGGGCATGTATGCTTTGAAGCTTTATGCCAAAAACTTAACTTCCACGAAGGAGGAACATTCAAATGTGTTGAATTATCTCATCAAGTGCTATGGTAGGGGTATGAAGAATGACCCATTCCCAAACATTAGCACTGGGAACATAGGTGCTAATCCAGCGTGCAAAGAATTAGGCATTACATGTAATGGATACGAAGATGGAATGATATTCGCCGAAAATGGATTCGCTCAAGTTGAGTTTGAGAACCGAGGGGACGTAGATTTATCATGCGAGTTACATACAAATGTTCAAACGCAAGCCGATAGGATGCGTGTGACCCAGAAGAACGGAAATAACAAAAACTGGTTCTATTTGGATTTACCAGCTGAAGGTGAATATTCTATGAATGTATATGCACACAAAAAAGGGCATGATTTTACGGACTTGCATAACATACACGCCTTTCTAGTCCAGTCAACTGGTAGACCAGTACAAGAGGGCACTGTAGGAAGAGTGAAAAACAGCAATTTCTGGAAAGGTACAACACCAATTATAGCCGAAACAATTTATACCAAGAAAGCTGAGATCGCAGTACCTGTGCCCACAGGTATAGAGAACGTGATAGCCTTTCTCGAACAAAAAGAAAAAGATGGCGCTCCAAGCAGGAAGAACGTGGAAATGGCAACGGAACTCGGGATTACAATATTTAAGGTAAAACTGCCGAAACACGGTGAATACACTTTGCACATTTATCAACAAGCTGAAAAAGTATATCTTAAGAACATCGGTAGGTACTACATATTCCGATCCAGTTCTGTCGACGTAGTAGAGGATGATTTGATTACCATCATGGATGCCATCAGGGAGGAAAGATTGAGGGTCGGTCAGGATGTATCCGCCATTGACGCCACAAATAGAGCACTACGAGCAAGAAAGAAGAGGAACGTCCCTGGTAAGTAATACCCTATCCTCGATACTCATGTGGTTACGGTCACCTTCACTCGCTGCGCCCCTGGAACATGTCATTGCCAAACCTTGTGGACAAGACGAAAATGCATGTTTGATCCTTTGATGTACATCAGTCGAATCTCGAGGTCGATAACGGTATATCGTAATGGCTTTGAAGTTGGGTGGTGCTCCTTTGTAATCTTCAAAAAAAAACTTATCAATCTATAATTGGTCACTTCTTCCCTTCTGGGACAATCAACTTACTAGGCTTTTCCCTTGGTTTTGCCACGACATGTTCCAGGGATGCAGAGAGCGAAAGTGATCGTAACTCCTGGAGTATCGAGGATGTAATATTATGCTGTGATGAGTTGTGTATATTTTTTTATAAAAATTATGACTTTATCAACAATAAGATAATTTACTACAGGTATTACGACGTTACATGTATATGAATATTGTAATAAAAGGTGTTCTGGTGTATGCAAGAAAAGGGACTTTTCTCATAGATAATGAATATACTTCGCTAAGGGACATTAAGTAATGCTTAGCGTCAGGAATGAAGTATATGGATTCATTGAGTGTAGAAATCTGTAGAATATGCTACAGACTAGGATAACGAGACTTTAGACAAAGTTCTTACTTGAGAAAAATTAAAATCTAGCGGACTGGTTTATAAAATAATGTAAGTTGATAATGTTTAGCTTAGCTAAGGTAAAACAATACCCTTTTAAGGAATTTTGCGGATTGCGCATATCGACAGCAAAAGCAATGTCAGACTTCCTCATTGAGAGTGACATATGTAGGACGCTTTCGGCGAAAAGTCGCTGGCAAAAATAGTTAAAGGTTCTGGTATCGAGTAATTTCTGGCCAAAGTTAATCGATTTTAGCGAGCAATTCAGCATGTATTATGAAAGCAAACTATTTCATCATACTGAGTAAGCACGTGACTCGATAAAACAAACCCGATCTGTCCATAACTTGTATGTATGGCCGTACATTAACGATTACATTTAACGGATTTCAGTTGACGAGAAGATTGCCTGTGCACAGAAATTGTTTCTGTCGCTTGAGTCGAATGACCCTAACGTCATTAGAAAGGCTTTAGAAGAAATGCTGTTGACACAACCAGATTCGGGGAATACGTTGGTAAAAAAAGCCAAGAAACTCCTTAGATACAAAGAAGCTAAAAAAGGTATGTTCTGCATGAAAAGAATGCTCATTCATGATCCATGTGTGAAAACTCGATAGTGAATCCGAGTGGTTGCTAATGCTGTATGCAGTACGATGAGTAAAAAATGGCTGTTTTTTTTTCCAAGCAACTTGATTCATATCAAAGCATATCATTAACTCGTAGGTATTCATAATTAACTAGTTTGCTTGCAACAGTTGTAAAGAGTATAGATGTTTAAAAAAAAGAGGCCTGAAAAAGCTTTGATATCAGTCAGAGACGATAAGTAGTTTAGTTATAGATATTATAGATGTAATATCAAAAGTACTTTGATGTTTTGATAGTTTACGATAAGTTTGATATGATAGGTATATATACAGAGAGTAGCACGTCTGTTTTGAATGCAAAAAAGTACATAAAATATGTTGATATAATGTGCATGGATGTACCAAACATAAATATGTGGAAAAGTTACGTAAGAGTTAGTTGTAGAATGTATGTAGATATCATTAGCGGAGGTAGTTGGAAAGAATGTGTAAATAATACATTGTTGTACACTAGGAGCGTATCCTTTAAAAGGGAAGTATTTCAGGCACCTGTCGATCTTATCAATTTTATTAAACAGAGCTCAACCACGCGTATAAGACGAGGAATCTTGCGGAACTGGAAAAAGCAATAGTTAAAGCGAAATCCGCCAATACAGACAAATCTCTGGACATGCCATTGTTACTAGCGAGACGTCTACGAGACCGTCTTCGTGTGCTGCAAAGACTGAGCGAAGGTGTTCGCCAGGCGGATCACAAGACAGTGGGAGAAATCAAAACATACGACAGTCCACCTATCGGTGTCCATGATGCTGTGAGGGCAGCTCTGCTTCTGCTAGGGCATCCGCTGTCACAGACAGAAGTAAATATTTCAGTACTTTCTTGGGGTTAACGTTATACCCATTTTGAAAGCCAAAGAGCTTAAAAGCATGTATGTATGCTATTGTTGTATTTTTAATGTAAACTTGTTCTAAAATTAGATGAAAATGTTGATGAATTATAGGGCTAGAGCACCTCCCCGTCTAGATTTTAAGCTTTCTTTTGATCACTTTGGGTTGTCCTCGGTCGCCTACTAGCCTTCCAGATTTAGACCCTTTTCATCATTTCTAAAATTCTAAATTCTGAAAGGACGAAACAGCGTTTTGATGCAGTTTAGTTCATTCTTTGACTCTATTGTATCTAATTATAAATTGTAAAAAGAAAGGTGCATATGTGTATTGTTGTTCGATCAGTGTTGATAGTACGAGGATTAAGTCAAGGTCGCAGCTGCATTTGTCATATTGCATTAACCGGAGATAATATGTATATATTGCATAATGGAGGGGTATAGGGGAAGGACCTTTTCAGAGTTTGATTTATATACCCATACACTTTATAGTCATGTCAACTACTATAAAGACCGTATCAATTACCAAATACAATGAGAAATGTTTGTAGTTCGTCATGTTGTACTTTTGACTACTTTCCTTCATGGTGTTTTTTTTCAAAACAGATTAATATATATATCAATATCTATATCTTTATACATATTTTCCCTTTATAGAAATGGAAGCAATGCAAAACTATCCTGCATCAATCTGAAAATGAAAACCTCGCACAAATAATGGCAAATTTTGAGCCAAAAGACGTATCTATAGTAACCGCTATAGAAGCAAAAATGCTTCTTGGATCCTACAGCGAAGGAAAAATGAGGGAAATCAGCCCGGGAGCAACGGGAGTATTTATATGGGCAAGTAGTTTGTATGAAGTGCCGTTCATATTTATGTTTCAATGTCTAATGACATGCTGAAGTCAAGTCAGACTTCCTTTTGTAAGAGTTTTTGAGATAAACTAAATGTATTAATTTGTCTTGTATGAGTAGGTTAGACAGATTTAAAATAATGTGCTTACGATTTGAATTCTAAAAAATCAATTATCGTAAACACAGAAGTTAGATTTAGCAACTTTCTGCCTTCGGCAAGTCACCGTCTCTCAGTCACTCGCTGTCTGCCTCTAGAAAGACGTGGTCATGTAGACACTTAATGTCTTTCTTCGGTAAGACATCGTCACCCAGACACTGCTGTCTTTATCAAGACATCGTCACCCAGACACTGCTGTCTTTATCAAGACATCGTCACCCAGACACTGCTGTCTTTATCAAGACATCGTCACCCAGAAACTGCTGTCTTTATCAAGACATCGTCACCCAGACACTGCTGTCTTTATCAAGACATCGTCACCTAGACACGTGCCGTCTGCCATAAGTAATGCTTTGCCATCCTGACTCTGTCCGCCTTTGGTGCAACATTGTCATTTAGGCACTTACTGCCTGTTTTCGGTAAGCCATCGTCACCCAGATACCAGCAGCCTGTCTTCGGTAAGACATCACGACTGCATGACTGTAGGAATGATCACGTGTCACTCAACTGAAATGACACTATGACAGTATCACTCTTCAATATATGTTATGTTCCCGGGTTCTTAACCAGTCATCGGGACACAGGAAACTTGAAATGTGCTTCAGACATAGGTCCGCCAGTTGAACATACAGGAATTTCTTGCAGAATTATTGAAGAGGTGTCGTATTTGTATACGGCCAATAATGGATATGTAAACAATGCATAAGTATCAAATTGCTTTCAGATGACATTCATATTGCCCAATCTGAAAGTTGTTCGAAGTTATTTTATAGACAATAAAGTAAAACTCTCTTCCATGCTTCATGTCAATGAGGACAGAAAATTATATTGATTCGAGTGTATCTTTTGTATTTAGGTGAACTCCATGATTAAAGAGATTGAGGCGTCAGTTGGAACTCTTAAAGAGAAGAAACCTAAACCGAAGCGACCAGTCGTTATAAAGCCAATCCACACCAAACCAAAAAAAAAGTACGTAACTATTACTATGGATATGCTGAAACAGCGTCCTCCGCTCACTACAGAAGAACTGGTTGACCTAGAAGCAAGAACATACAAGAATGCATACCGAAGAAAGAAACTTAAGGGTATGTTAATCCCAGTAGGACATCCTGACCGTGGTAGGAACAGTGGTTACATGGTAATATCGGACCCACCTATGATCAAACCCACTGCATCGGTCAAAGCAGAGAAGAGGAAGAAAAATGTTTTACCGGTGAATGTGAAAGGCAAGAAGCGGACGATAGCTTCTTCAGACAGACTCGGACAGAATGCAGATGTGGATGACGAAACCTTGAAGAAAAATGACAGGAAAGGCAGACAAAAGGCTGATGAAAGATACGATGATATTGTTGATACGTCGTTGAAAAGTCAATACTCGGAACCAGATTCTCATGACTTCCAGAAAATCGAGGTGAAGGAGCACCACAGCACAGATGCTCAATACACACCTGATTCGGAGGCTAACGGAAACAGTCTGCCACATAGTAACGTTTCATACAACAGCATACCAAATAACAGTGTGTTACATCCGGACCAACACACTCAACAAGCCAAGAAGATGAATCAATCCAAGAAACACCAGTTAAGGAAGTCCTACAGCGAGCCGCGCGTCACTAAGCCGGGCAATATCATAGATCGCCACTCTTACTTGGGGATTTATACTCGGCAGACGCAGAGTGAAATTCCAATCAAACCAATGAAAGTCGACCCCAAACTTGTCAACTTTAGAGGGGTCTCCAGCTATGCTGATAAATATGAACTACAAAAATCGTATTACGAAGCTGTCAAAGTAAGTGGAAGTTCAAAATAACATTGGAAGGAGTCAGAACCTACATACATGTGTGACATTTGTATGCCATGATCTTGGTACGGGATATGTATATTTCCGGAGCTACAACTTTGTCATATTTGGAAGAAAATTTGTATATTTCGTAATTGATGAAACTTCCAGTTGTATCTGCAGATATTTTACATGTTTTATCAATAAGCGAAGACGACAGCGTTCCGTCGGCTTTGAACACTTAATAAACAATTGTCACACTTAAAGACACACTAACAGTATTTATAAAAATGAAATTCGATGCGGGAGAAAGTGATTATTTTTGTAAAGATGTCAAGAGCACTATCGATAGGAGATAAGATCGGAACATCGAATTTGAAAGTGTAAATGAATCAGCACCAATCTCATTTAATGTTTTGTGATATCAGAGCTATCCTAAGTTCAATGAAGTGTCAAATGGTCAAGACACCCGCAGTCTTTAGGTATATAATTGTTAAGTATTTTGTTGGATAGGGCCGGTTGCGGAGACCATTGTGGATAATGCCTTTTCAGTATGCAATTTTTAACAGATACAAGATCAAAATTTACGTTTTAAAGGTGCATGACAGATTTGGTACATACTGAATTTTAGATTAAACCAAAGACATTGAATGGAAATTATTAACCAGTTATAAGTAGCCCATTTTTTTTATATCTTACTATACTTTTATATATGCGTGGGCATTACAAGGTTAAACATCACATTATCATTAGCTTTGCATGTAAATAGAATAGTAACATTGAATAAAGGCAATGAAGCTGAATGAAAATAACTGACCCGTTTTGTTTTAAAGAAATTCTCCTTATCAAAGTTACATTTAAAAGCTTGTGGTTACATCCGCAGTATTAACAAAATGGAAACCTCTCACCACTTTTATTATCATCATTACTAACCATTTAACACCAAAGCATTTGTTTTCACAGAACAGAATCAGTACTGCGGAATAAACTGTATGTAGCAATTATATTCAGACAAGAAAATACCGATACATTCATCAAGCTGTATTTAAAGGTCATTATCAGTGTAACTAGATCATCAGAAAGAAATCAAGACTTACATGGAGACCTTCATGACAGTCAGAGGAAAATAAGATCAAGTTTTCCAGAAGGGTGTCTCATAGACGACACCCAACATGTAAACCTTTGTCAATCCAAGGAAGTAATGTTTTGCTGAAAGGGGAACAATGTTAACAGTTAACGAAACCATGCATATGAACACGCATTGAACACACGTCTTTATATTGCACCAATGTATAGAATATTTCTCAAAAAAATCATTTTGTCAATTATAAAAATCTCCTGATATCAACCTGCATCTTTCGAATCTGCAAATTTTGTTGTCAACAAGAAAATGTTTTGATGCTTTGAGCTGATTAACCTTCGCAATCTGCTTAAGTTGAATGTTAATTCACTAAGTGAAGTGGACGGACGAACAGGGGTAAAGAACGAACTACAAGGTACACAACTTATGTCTCTTTACTATCATGGTGCAACATAAACATGAGGCCCACGGGCCTTAACGGTCATCTGACTACAAAAACTTCCAGGTTATTTGTCTTACTAAGAAGATGTTCTCCTATTTCATATTTTCTTAATAATAAAATTGGAATTCAATCTCACTTGAAACAGTAAAATAACAATAATTGCGCAATTTTAATATGACCTTCCTGACTGCCATGTCAAATTTTTGACAAATTCAAAAAATAACAATTTGTTGTCTTCTTTTCCACCAGTGAACTGGAGAAGAAGTTTAAAATACGTTTTTCAAGATGACGGCAATGGCGGTTTCAATAACATTATGTAAAGGAAGCAACGTTATCAGTCAACTCTGAAACTAACCTATTTGTTTTGCAACATTCAAGCATTTCCTTAACTCGACATCGATACTTATGGGAAAAGCTTCCTTTCTGTCGCTGCTAGATCCATGAACAAGAGTCCCATGTGCCTTGACGGTCATCTAACTACAGTTTAAAGAAAGGAGTTTTGAATGAAATCTTACTAAGAAGCTATTTTCCATGATGCAGATGGTAGATTTTTGGAGGAGCAGGTAATTGTAACAAGTGTTACCTATTTTTTGACAGAAAAGTTGGAGCTCAATCCAATTTCTGAATCTTTAGAAGTTTGAAATAGATGTTTTACAGGAAATACATGATTGCGCAATCAAGTTTCAAAATGGCCTCCCTGGCTGCCTTATTTAAGTTTTGACAAGGTCGAAAAATAACAGCACATGGATGGCTACCTTTCCTTAACATTCCCATCAATTTTTTTACTCAATGGCACCAGTGGAACTGGAGAAGTATTAAATATGTTTTTCAAGATGTCGGACATGGCGGCCATCTTGGATGTCAGACATACATGAAAAATAACAACAGTGGGTCAGGAGCATCTCGGGATTATTTCATGCAAGTTTGAGTTCAATCCCACAGGTGGAACTTAAGAAGTTTGAAATGTCAAAAGTTTACGCAATGGTGGACGGCACAAAGCGGACAACAACAGATGAAGAACGATGGCTATATAAAAATAAACTCTTTTTTAAAGTATATTAGACAACAATATCAATGCATTAGTTAACACGACAGAATATATAAACAAACAGAATCAGCCCTTTTAGGTCACGATGACCTATTTTTTGGGTCATGATGACTTTTTTTCGGGTCATGATGACCTATTTTCGGGTCATGATGACCTATATCTATGCCCCACCCTTAATATCCCCATTCTTGTCATTTTTTTGTTTTATTATGTATGGAGGAACATGATTAAGTAAACTAATAAAAATCAAGTGAAAAAACTTCAACTGAAAACAAATTATAAAGCTGATTTATTTTTAAAATGGGGGGTTCATTTCACCGCAGTTCACTTCATCATTATGGTATTTTGACCCTGGTTCATTTCCCCATGCTTCACAATATCATGCTACACCACTTGTATGATATTTTCTTCCTTACAGGCAACTGGAAAATAAGCAACTCTGAATGCATGTAACAATATCAAATATCCAGTATATTTGTGCTGGACATAATAAGAGAACTATGAATTCAGACAATTGTGTTTTATTAGTGCTTTCATATCTGCATACCTGTCGGTACAAGTGTACTCACCGAAATGTATAAACGTGCAGATTACATCAAGTACAACTTACAATTTGCTTTGATAATGTATCACCAAACATCAAGATTATATCATGATAATCCACATTGGAGTCAGTTCACAGAATCGTCAATAAAAGTTGTTTGAACTATACGAACAATAAAACTATAAATAAACGACATCACATTGACATATGCCCATCAGGGGCACAATATTCAATACAGAGTACCTTCATTGTGATTCTTTCTCTCCTGATTTGTTAAAATACTTAAGGACTGATTTCATTATTCTTTTCTAAACATGTTGCAATCTTCCTAATAAAGAAATTGTCATGACACAACAAAATACGGATGTTTATTGTAAAACGGTACCTATCAGGTGACATTATAATCTGTAGTGAATTGTTACATCAAACAATCATAGCTCTCAAATGTTTCTTGTCCCAGTTTGGTACAGGCCTGAAAAATATTGCTCACGACCTTCCTTAACGTCAACCAAGAGCATCTGAGTCGTCAAGTCTAATATGACGTCTTCACCACTTAAAAAAACAAAACGCCCTCCTATAGCTATTGTTTGATCATAGTGCTTATGTACCTGTTCAGTGGGATTGTAATTCAGTGCATTTTGCATTGTTTCTATGTGAGTGGATAATTAGTCATGCACTACACAATTGAAATGTGTATCGATGAAGATATTTCATGATGTGCTGATTTATTTTCCAGAGAAATGTAGTATCATCAGATACTCAGTCGAGTATCAAGGAATATCACTAAAATGTTAGTCATATTTACCAATTCTCATATATGTACAAACGTTTTACATGTCATCTTTATACTACATCAGAATATTGCAGTGGATACAAATAAAAGCATCTCATGAAACATCAATACATAATAACTTCTACACAAACAGTACTCATACTACGTGGTTGGCTCTGTAGATAAACTTTACCATGGACTTAGTTGGCATGAGATTCTGTGGTCTGCACCTTAGTTATACGTGCCTTAATGGCAAAAAAAAAAAAAAAAAATTCCTGTGAAACAAAGACAATGCTACATACACTTACATTAAATAAATAGCATTGTGTGACTAGTCGAACTATTTACAAAAGTTGGTTTCCGATTATATTGATATAAACTTTACAAGAGGTGTCAGATAGAAGTTAAGGTTTATAAAATACAAAAAACAATTATTCTCATGGTCACAATATATGCATGCCATACTTTATAGAAAACAATTATTCTGAATGACCAAATATCATGATAATCCAATAACATTGCTTCTATATCAGATATGGTGAAAAATATTAAATAAAAAAGTTTTACTTTCATACAATCCCACAAAGACAAAAAACATTTTTCTTATATCACACTGACACATTGACATACTGAGTGAAAAACATATACTGAGTACCAGACAGGTCATCTGTTGTATTCAAATCTACACAAATATTTACTTTGTTGCAAAAACATGTCATCTGGAACAAGACATCATCTACCAAATAAAACATCAACATCTGATAATGCAAACATTGGTATCTGATCAGGTGATATCTAATTGTGTGGTGAAATGTTGCATCAGACAATCATAGCTTTCCAATGTATCCTTACCTTAGTAAAGTCCTGAAAAGTACTGGTCAAGACTTCTGGTAAATGTGAACAAAGAACATCCGAGTCTCTAGCCTAGTATATCTACTTATTCACCACAGGTAAGGATGCATGTCCAGAAACATAATATCTTTTTTTAAATCTTTAATGCCGTTATTAATGACAGAAAATATGATTCTCATCAAAAAGATACAAAGATGTATTTAATTTGTTATTTATCAATAGATTTCATATATCAGGAAAAACACAGGAAAATGATCACACTTTAATGTGTCCTAAACACAAATTGTTCAG